GATTTCCTGTCAAGCTCTCACAGCCTTGTTGGAGTAGAGCCAGGAGCAGGAACATTGCCATGATGGAGAAGCGCTCTGGTAAAACTTTCCCAGGTGCTCTGTTCTTTCTCAAGCTTTGGTTAACTTTCTCAAAACACTTGCATACTAAGCAGATCTTGTCTTCTGTTGGCCCCTCAGAAAGTCAAAAGAAAAAAGCCTCGAGCATTCCAGCAAACTGTTGCCAGGATCTTTACACTTGACTGCTTCAGTTTTTCTTTGACGAGACTGCTTCCAGCTCTTGGTAGCCATTACCTGGATTGTGCTTCGTCTTCGGGATCTTACTGAAGACTTCTCTCAACCCATGTGGTTGCAAGGGCTGATGAACACTTCATCTTTATATCCGGTGGCAGACTACTGGCTCCCTTCCCAAGAACCAGAGACCAGAGCATGCCCATGTGTGTGATGCAGAATCAAGAGGGACCCAGCTCTGACAGATGGCCACACACTATACTGAGTAGAGTCCACATGCCTAAGGAAACTCTCTTCCCAACCAGGGGGCTGTTCACATACATCACATAATGGAGTAGGATACTCAATATCTGACAGACCCTTGGAAAGCCTGGCCTGGCTAAGTTGAGCATTATCTCCTTTTCCCTACCCGTGCTTCCTAAAGAAAATAATTATTCTTACAATCTTTTGTCAAGTAGTCTTCGGAGGACTTCAGTCCAGGGTTCCTCCACAAGACTACTTTGGAGGAAGTAAACCAAATCTGAGATTTGGTTGAGATGTGGTATGAAGTCCAAAATAATGAGGATTTAGAGTTAAATTCTTCCTGGCCAGATGGCAACAGACATAACAAAGTCACAGGAAAGTGGGGTAGTGAGGAATACCGAGAGGATGTGCTGCCACAGTGCCCTGTGGAGGCTGGGCTAGGATTTCAGGTGTAAACTATTGCACTGCTCGATGCAATCTCCTCAGCACCTGAGAGGTCTGGTGACAATGGCGCTGTGACGTTGGTTAGTTGTTGGGTGCCATCGGGGAAGAGCAAGAGTGAACTGATCTGGACGCACGCCTCTGTCTCTCACCATCTCTAACCAACCACCATCCTTCGGAGATAATGGATGCTGCTGCTTGTCTGCCTCGCAAATCTCATGCAGATTCACTTTTGCATGAAGGCAACCATGCTGCCTGTGCCAACTCACCCATGAAGGAGAAAGGTGGGCAAACCCTACCTCTATCACTATCTGTGTTTTAAGGATCAGCGTGAATCCCATTCCCAAGTGGAAGTGGATCCACACTTCACCTTCCCACATCGATGTGGTTCTTGTTATCTGGCATTTCCATGGCACACCCTCGCTGGTCTTGGTTGCTATGAGGTCAATCTGATTCTGTTTCAAGGTGGCACTATTTCTCAGCATAGGACTGCCCCATGGGTATTCTCACTGGGAAGATATTGCCAGGTCTTTTCTTCTGCAGAGCACTTGCTAGATTTGAACCAGCCAAGAAAAACCTATGAAACAATGCTACTCTGTAACAACAGGGTCTCTAAGAGTCAGAATGAACTTGACCACAGAGGATTCCTGGTGGTGTAGTGGTTACGAGTTGGGCTGCTAACCACAAGGACAGCAGTTTGAAATCACCAGCCACTCTGCAGGGAAAGATGGGGCATTCTACTCTGGTAAACGGTTACAGTCTTGGAAACTCACAGAGGCAGTTCTACCCTGTCCTACGGGGTCGCTATGAGTTGGCATCGGCTTGAGGGCAGTGAGTTATAGCAGCTTTAGAGAAAGTTAGAGGTATGGACCAAAGGAACCAGGCCAGGAGGAAGACACTGCTCATGGAGATTCAGGATAAGGCAAAAGTGGGGAGGAAGAGGGTGAAGGGATGGTGTGTGCAGACAATATTCAGGTATAACTTCTTCTGATCAAACCCAGAACTTATTACTAGTTACATCCTGATACAAGACTCTGTAGCTACCTGGTATGACTACATAGAGAATGGGTTCCCATGAAGAAAGTTTCTATGTTCAAGATAGTGATGATTAGGACTTGTGAACATTCAGACATTTTTATTACAAGGGGAGCAGACAAGAATAGTGTGAGTAAACAGTATTTACTTTCCCTGTAGAATGGAATGGAGGACACCTAGCAACTTTGGCATCAGAACTACCTTGAAAGAGAAATGGCTTACAAAGACACGAGGCTTCGAGACATTATCCCAGCTGACCCCTGCAATCCTTAGCTGGGATCTCAACTATCCTTTTAAGTGTGTGTTCCCACCGCTTATTTCATAAGTATGTATAACATTGGCTGTCTCCACCATCAAGAAGTCTTTTCAATTTCCCGGACCTTAATCCTGGAGATAAAGGTTTCAAATGCATCTGGAGTGATCTCTAAATCTGTACTTTTAAATGAATCACCAGCCAACTTCTATGCACTGGAAAGTGTGACTCTTGCTATAAGATGCTTCTGAATACGAGCAGATCTGTGTCTACCAACCCTAAAGCCTCATTCTTTGTTCTCTTGAGGAAAATCCTTGTTATTGGGGCATCCTACCTCATGGCTGAAAGTAATTCTGTTGAATTTGTGTTGATCAACAATGTTGACAACAGGATGTATGTAGAGAGCATGTTTCAGGCACAATTTCCATAAAATTTTGGAGCATTTTATCTGATGCTTATGAGGCAGTCACATTATCTGGAAATCATGAAAATCCTAAGGGAGGAGAAAGTGACCTAAAATCATTTTAAGGGGATTTAACGACTTGAATTAAATTACTATAGTTACTGTAATTGCTATATTCCCTCAATATTGACAATCCTGTGGAATTTTCAATGTAGAGTTATATTTTTCACTTTTTAATCGATATAAAACATAAACGAACACATTCAAATCCATGGCCATTGAGTCAATTTTTGACTCATGAGGACCCTGTAAGGTCTCTAAGGTGGTCATCTAAGGGTAGTGGATGACCACATCTTTCTGGGGAGCAGCTGGAGGGTTTGAACCATCAACTTTCAGGTTAGAAACATTGCTTTGGCCACTGTGCCATCAGAGTTCCTTTTGAATCAATATGTATGCAATATGCACATCCCTTTTTCTTGAGAAGGTTTGTTACCTTGATTTTGTTTTATACAATGATGCTGTTAGATTTGATGGCATATGGTATTTCAAGTCATAACTCCTCAACTAATGAACATTCATTTATTCATTATTCATTCATTTATACATTTCAGAAATATTTGTTGAGTGTGCATCTAATAATGCTCTCTATAAAAGGATACAGTTTAAGTTTTGCCAGAAAAATTATAATGACCAATATGCTATTGGTAGTCTTCTGATTTTTTGGTGCAGTGAATTAGTTAATGTGGCCTTTCAGCCAGAGTGCTTCTTAAATGGAGGATGGCAAAACTTCATCTCACATAATTTAGGCATTGTATTCTGAGAGACCAGTTCTTGAAGAAGGACATCATGCTTGCTAAGCTAAAGGGTCAGTAAAGAAGAGGAAAATCCTTAAGTAGATGGATTGATACAATGACTGTGATAATAGACTCAAATATAACAACTATGGGGATGGCGCAGGAATGGGCAGCATTTCATTCTGTTGCACTTAGGGTCCTTATGAGTCAAAACTGACTTGATGACACCTAACAGCAACCACAACCACCATCACAACAACAAATCCATAGTCTTTGTGACTCCTGCACAGTTACTGGGTGGGACTTAAATAAGGTTCTGTGGTCCACCAAGGCAATCGGACAACTTACTAATGCAAAAAGGTGTGTGGAATGTGTGAAGATTAAGGTTGTGCATCAACTTGGCTTGGCAGTTATGCAATGCTGTGGAATGATGTCATTGTCCTTCATTCTGTGATCTGATGTAGTTATCCTCCATTTTGTGATTGGTTGTAAATCCTAGCCTCTTTGCTTATTATGGTTAGAGTATCATTTGGGAATGAGTTTTCTATCATGCTCATGAGATAGGATTAGTGTGGGATACATCTTGACTCACTATCTTACTAGAAGGTGTGACTTAAGCCATTATCCATATGCCAGCCTTCCCCCTTAAAACTGCTATTCATGTCACATGCTTGCACCATCTTGCTCAAGTAAGATGAGCTTCCTTGAGGGTCTGGTTTGCATTTCAAATATATGAGTGCTCCGATAAAGATCATACTCGTAGTCTGGGTCTTGCATTTGGCTCCGTCTCATCTGACCTTTGGTTGTTGAGCTGGTAACCTACCTTGCCCGAGTCTCCAGCTCCCAACAGCCTGTCATGATGACCTGTCCATTTGGGTTCATCAGCCTCTGCAGCCACACGAGTCATGAGAAACCTCCAGCGTGGGTCTGACTCACAGATTTGAGACTTTGCAGCTTCTAAAATTAAAGGAGTCATTTCTTTTGTGATTGATGAGTTCTGTAAGATATTGCAGTACAATAAAGGACCCAAAGCAGGAGGGAGAGTGGTGAGGAGAAGGAGGAGTTGAAGTTAAGGATGAGGGTGCGGCATGGTAGTTTGGAAAAGTTGGACAATTGGGAAGTCTTTCACCTTTGTCTTTGTGTTGATCTTTGTAAAAGAGATGAATATTTAAGGCTTTATAATTACATTTACTTATATGATATTTCAATGGATCCAAAAGTCATGCAAATGGCTAAATTAGAAAGTACAATAAAATCAAAACTTTTTCAGAAATGTCATAGCATGGAGGTTCCATGTAGGTCAGTGTGGTTGGGAAAAATCAGCTAATGAACATACTAGTACGTCTTTGTATTCACAAAGGACCCTCTAACAGCTAACAGCTATACTAAAAGGGCCAGAGGTTAAGACATAGGTCTAGCTTTGGGGAGGATAACAGGAAAACCTCCCGTCAAGTTTAGTGTTGTCCACCAGGGGGTGCATTTTCCTAACAGGTACCTAATCCTTGCTTAAATTCTGGGCGTCACACTCAGCCTTTCACTATGTGAGACTTAAACCTTGCCTCCCACTAAGCAGGCAAAACTCAAGAACAACAGAGGGTTTAAAATGAGCTCTTCTCCAGGATCAGTGATTGTACTCTTCTTCTTACTTGGTAAGAAAGCTGACTGTTAACAGCTTAGAGACTTTTGCTCTATTATTTTAGCATAATTTTTAACAGCATTTTTCTTCAAAGGGCAGAGCCAGATTGTAGACCATGTAACTAAAGACCATCATCATCATTATTTTTTTCAGGAGGAAGCAATGGAAACACAGTGACCCAGACAGAAGGCCAAGTGACCCTCTCTGAAGGGATCTATCTGATGCTGAACTGCTCCTATACTTCTACTGGGTACCCGAGTCTTTTCTGGTACGTTCAATATCCCAATGAAGGTCTCCAGCTTCTTCTGAAAGCCACCAAGGCTGATGAGAAGGGACGTAACAAAGGCTTTGAAGCCACATACAAGAAAGAAACATCTTCCTTCCACCTGGAGAAAGCCGCAGTGCAAGAGTCAGACTCGGCTGTGTACTACTGTGTGCTGAGTGACACAGTGACAGGAGCTGCAGGGGGAGCCGAGCACAAACTCTGAGCTGCACAGGTGGGGCAGGGGTGTGTGTCACTGATTCAGTTCAATGATTCAGGGGTGTGTGTGTCTGATTCGTTCAATGATTCAGGGGTGTGTGTCTCTGACTCAGTTCAATGATTCAGGGGTGTGTGTCTCTGACTCAGTTCAATGATTCAGGGGTGTGTGTCTC